GTCGATTGTGTCACGCCAACAGGAGTTAAGGCCAAGTCAAAGGCAAGGCGCTCTCGTCGGCAAATGGCGATATAAAAAATGCATTTGGCACTTGAGAATTTATGTGCCGGCTGCTGCTGCTGCTTCGGGGAATCGGGAATCGGGGCATCTGGAGAGGGAATCTAAGGAGGACGAGGACGAGGACGAGGACTCCGGAGTACGTCACGCGAAATGATGAATTACTCGCCGGGGACGCGCGTCAGTCTTTGATGAGGAACGACAGCGTGAAATTAGACAAAAGGGTTATGGCAAACATGGCCAAAAGGAGGGGGGCTGAAAGGCGGGGAGGGGAACATGGAGGCGGTGTCATATGCCATATGTGCAACTCAAACCGTCGGGTTGACTTTGCACTCGAGAACGACGCGCCTTGACTTAATGAAGATGACGACGAGCCGCGGAGACTGGGCGTGTTTTAATCCTTCGTGGACGTAGACCGAAATGCTAGGTGTTGCGTTTGTCACTGCAGCACACGAGGCGTTAATTTATTACAAATTATTATGATTTCTCTTTGCGCCTTCGGGGCCCTAACCACTTTTTTCTTCCGCATTTACTGGCTCGAAAAAAAACAACAACAGCAACAACAACATCATAAGCAACCCTTGTTGAAGACGTCTAGACAAATGCACTCCAAAGGTTAACATGATAAATGTCGTTTGTTGCCTGTGACGCGACAACTTTCGTGTTGCTGCTGCAGTTGCAATTGTTGCTGCAAATATCGCCGCACTGCAGTCGGGGATTTGTTTTCCCCGGACTGCATTGTTTTTCCTGCCGTCGTGTGGTGATTATTAAGCCGAGCCAGTCAACAAATTAATCAATGACGTGAGCAATTAACGAGCTCCAGAAAAAGCAGCAAGAAATATGGCGCACAGGATAACCGTTCTCGTTAGAGGTGGTAAACTGTATAAAATTGCAGCGATTATATCGATAGTGTTTTGAAAATTACTTGAATTTTATCGATAAATTCGTTTTCATTTAAAAATAGGTCAAATGCGTTATTTAATTGTAAGGAAATGATTATGATTTCTTAATTTTGATTAGTTGTCTATTACCGTTAATGTTCTCACCCTCTCTATTTTTTTCATTCTAATTTCGTGTTCCCCTAATTGTGACTCTTGCAACTGCATTCGATATGCGGGAAACTAGTCCCACTCGACGGCCTGCCATTTCGATTGCGGCGGCACAAAAAAAAGGGGGAAAAAAAAATAAAGAAGGAGAGATCCCCGGTTGCTTCATCTTCATATTCATCTCGGAGCCTCAATTGGCATTCCGCACTCGGATGTGATATGATGTGGTAAGCGTGGACCGCAAACTGCGACACCAGCAACACCAACAATGGCTGGCCAGACCGCAGCAACACTAACAAGCGACTTTAGCCAAATTAAGTTGTCCAGTTTGCGGTGTACGCACAGCGGGTTGCAAATAACAATCTCCTGTTTACAGCAACCGCAGCCAATGGCAACTGCAGCAACGGCAACACCAAGAACAACAATTGAAAACAACACCAAACTAACAACAGCAATCAAAACTGCAATTGCAGGGAGACGGCGGGAAAAAAAGGCATAGAAAAATTATTGCAACGACCCAAAAAACGCATTTAACTCATATTTCTTGCCAGTCGCCAAAATCAGTTTTTGTTGGATTTTTTTTTTGTACTTTTTGGCTAAGGCACCTATGTCGATTTCATATAAATTGTCAATATTTGACACATTTACGTGGCGCAGCACAAAAAAAAAAACGATCAGGAAAACAGAAATATATTGGCGGCGAGTTCAGAAATTTATCAAGTGCCCAACACAAATGAAAGAGCAAAATTTATGTGCTAAATAAGGAAGCTAAATACTCTTTAAAGTTTTAAAGTCCCTCTAAATATTTTTCGAATGTAAAATTACTATACAAAAAAGGTCACTATAAATGTGGAGAATTCTTATTTTAAAGTGGTTTAAAGTAATTTTATTGGTGGTAGAGTATTTCCATCGCTTCTTTCATTCCCGCCGCAAACCAATTAAAAACTCCCAAATAAAAAAAGGAAGGAAAAAGAAATATTAACTTAATTTTACTAGCCGCAAATATCTTTCTGCACATTACGAAAGCCGGCACGATATTGTTGCTGTTGCTTCTGCACATCGACGGCGGCAACTTCGGCGGTTGCTGTTGCTGTTGCAGTTGTTGCTGCAGCGGGACAGCCAAAAATTATTAACTAAAAAAGCCAGAAATTGCAAAAAGATTGCCTGGAAATTGACATTTGCTCGTTAATGTGTGCCTGTTGTTGCTGGTTAACTCCGGAGCCCCAAAAGCAACATCGACAACTGCAACAGCAACAGCAAAAGCAGCAACAGCAGCAGCTGACCAGGCTCGTTTGTCGGCATCGCATGCAACTGCCAATAATTTAGAGCTTTTAATAAAAATGTTGCTGCTGCAACACCGACAACGTTGCGGCTGCGATTCGGCGACTGTTCAAGATTTATATCATAATTTATTTATTAATTTCATTAAGTAAATGTTGCTTGATTGATGACGTTGTCTGTTGGTCGCCTTCCCGCGGCGGTTGCCGAAATGTTTATTGTTGTTATTCCCGCCACTAAAGAGGACCCATAAATAACCAGACCAAAAATATTGTGGGAGTAAAATCGAAAATACGTATACATATTTTTGAAAGCCTAAGGAAATATATAAAGTCTTGTTACTTTCGCCGAGCAAACATTTCAAACAGATAAGTAAAAGTAAGGTCATCAATATTTATTTCTACAAGTTTTCGTTTTGATTGAAATTTATTGCACGTTGCACAACTGAGCCAGAGATTCTTTTTAATGCCTGCCCCTTTGAATAATAGCGTGTCATTAGGGCAAACATCAAAAAATGATTAAAAAACTATTTAAAATTATATTCAATAGCAAAACATCAAATAATTTAGTCAAGCCAAGCGAATTGTTAAACGTTTGCGCCATCGCTGCGGCCAGAAAAATATCAGCCACTACAATGAAGAAAAATCAAAAGCCCATAAAACTGACGACTAAAATCAATTGCGACGCTAAACTTTAATACCCCATCTGGACTGGGGACTTGGCCAAAAGGTAGGTGGCTTTGCTTGCTGTCTGCGAACCGCTGGAAAAAAAGCTACCAAAATTGAAGGTTTCAGTCTGCTGAAGCTGGCCAAACCAAATCGCAACGGCCTCTTGCCAAATTCAATGGATTTTACTTTTCGTTTAGTCAAAACAAAAAAAAAAAACCAACAAACAACAACAAAGAATCGTAGCAAAGAGCTGAAAATTCGTAGAGGAAAAAAAAAACGAAACGCTCGCTGCTGTCGTGACCAATTAGTGATCCAACCGAGCGGTCGCTGGGGCGGTGGAGCGGAGGGGGCGTGGTCGCGCAGGCGCACGTCAGCTATAGGCAAAGCTATAGCTATAGCTTTGGCTCGGATATCGCGGCAGGGTCGGGAATAAAGACAGCAAACCAAAGCTGCAATCGAGTCCGAATCCACCGGAGCTCGCAGTCTGAGGCGCACTTTACATTCAAATATTTTGTGACACAAAACGTTTTTTTTTTGTTGCTGCACCAGCGGATTTGGCTTTGCTTTTGCTTTTGCTGGGGGTCTTTCTGGGTCCCACTGCATATTTGTTTTGCCTTTTGTCTGTGGCAAATCTCTAACCATTTTTCTACTTGGGCGTGTTCGAGTGCCATGCGTTTGGAAGCTATACTCTAACCAGTCTCTAAAATTTCGGTTTTCCTTAAAACTGAATTACAAAAACTTTTTGTGTATAAAAAAAAATATGAATTATGGCAATTTCACACATATGTTGTAAGTTTAATATACCCAACAACATTCAACCAACATTCATTGTGAAATTGTTGATTACTATGTTATTTTTACAATAAAAACAATAAACTTAAAACTAATCACAGTAATTTTCTTTTTATTTACGTATGAGTTGTTATTATGTTTGTATTTTGTTATGAACAACAAAGTATCCTTTTCTCGTGGAAGGTGGCAGCACTTATCTGCCATGAGTCAGCCCCCTTACAAAAGTTTTACTATCTGTTTGATACACACTTAAATTCTTCTTGAAATTATGGATAGCCAGAATTTGGATTTATCCTCACCTCTGGTGGACAATGAGCAAGAATCCGAGATGGACTCGCTAATTGTGATCATTGACATACTACGTTTGATTAATGAACAGCAACCGATAATAAATGAAGAAATGAGGGATGAAGAGACGTTGGCCATGGATCGTTTTTTAGACATAAAGCTGGAGAGGGATTCCCTGCCGAGGGACACACCACTGCCCATCTACTTGGCCCACAGGGAACCACGTAGTCCCAGTCCTCCGAGCAAGTGGAACAAATAGATGATCTTCACTTTTCAGGAACCAGAAAATTACCCAAGTAGAATACATTTTAAATCCAACAAGCAGATTAGTAAATACTTTAAACATGTATCAGTGGGCATAACTAATGCAGGTTATACATCATAAAAACTTGCCTTAAACGGGGCAAAATGTCAGTCTAGAATGCCGGGCTTGGGCACTCAAAAATACCAACAGTAATTTACGTTTGGAAAAGTCATAAAAATTACCACCCTTGCCACAAAAAAAAAAGGAGGAATAAACTCGTTTTAAAAAAACTCAATCTCTTTTTTGAAAATGAATAGGGAGCTTTCCAGTCGGTCCAGACCCCCAAGATGGGATACATCCGATGAAGATCATCGGAATGTGCTCTCCGCCAGGGAAAGGGATCGTGAAGAGAAGGCCATGTATCGCTTTCTCAACACCAAACTGGAAAGGGATAACTTGCCGGAGGACACTCCGCTGCCAATTTATTTAGCATATCGCGAGCCTCGAAAACCAAGTCCACCGGGCGAGTGGAACAAAAATAGCTTTAAAGTCAAACCAAAAGGATCTTGGTAAAAATAAAAAAAATATTTCCTAACAACTATACTAATTGTTTGATCTTAAAAGTAGGCAACACTAATTTGAAATGAGTTCTTTATGGAACACAACCACTTTAGATTTGGTAAGAGCATACAAAGTTCGATTTCTTCGCCGGTTGGTTATGTCTCTCTTAATTTAGTGTCCGTTTTTCAATTTCAGAGTCTCGCATATTAGTCAGCCTGGCAGGAGCAGCAGCAGCAGCAACAGCAACAGCAGCAGCAAAAGCAGCAGCAAAAGCAGCAGCAACACCAGACACAGCAGCAACATAAAGCGCAGCTCCCATGACTCATTTCGCCTGATGCGCGCGACATTAAGAGACAAGACTGAGGCATACACAAAAAAAAGTAGACAAAACAACGGCTGCGAACCCAAACACTCACTTGACTTGAAAATCTGCAGAGGAATAACTGACAGTGTACACAAGCAGCACTAATTGCTGTAAAATTGCAAACGGACTGGGGGAAAAATCGGCAGACATAGAACAACAGGAGAACACAAAAATCACAGCAGCTACAACTGGCCGTGTGTTTTAAAAAAATCTTAACGGAATGAATGCAACAAACGAACGAATGTGCAACGAAACAAGCAACAGCAGCAGCAGCAGGAGCAACATGAAGCCGCAACAGCAACACAAGCTGCAAACAACTCAATTAACACAAACAACCAGGCAGCGAATCGCGCAAAAGTTGCTGTTGCCGTTGGGTTTTCGCCCAGCCGACCGCGCCCCCCAACTCCAGGGACGCCCTTTTCCCCCCTTCAGCCCCCTTTGAGCCTCATTTTCTGGACACTTTTCGGACTGTTCCTGTTCCCAGCGGCCCCTCGGCAATGCAAATGTATGCAACTTGGTTTTGTGGCAGGCAACATATCTTCTTTCATTTAAATTAAAATGGGTACAAGCAGCATAATTAAATCTGAAATCATATTTAATTTAGAATAATATCTAAGTTCTTAATTTCAACTATATGAAGAAACTAAACTACCATTTATTTTTTCACCCGTATTTCTCATTCCACATAAGTGAACTTTAAGTCAAGGTTATTTTTTTTATACCATCTGCGATTCAGTTAAAGAGCTAACCTTCTATAGAAAAATGCCAAGCCTTTGAGCCTTTATGATTTATGAGCTGAAACGCTTTCAGTAGATTAGCAAACTGTCTAATTTGTTGCGTCCACATCGACAGGCACATTGTGGCAATCAAAGCGAATGTTCCTTTCTTCGGGATCACTTTGTGGACTCGTCAGATGCCGCAAAAACCGAAGGAAAGGAGTCTTGAGTGGCGATTCCTGCGGAGTGGGAAGCGGGTTAACTTAAATTGCTAATACCTGACATTGGAATGTTTTTAGCACTTCGGTTGTGTTTGGACAACAGCAACAATGGCAACTGCAACAGCAACAACGAAAGCAACAAGCGGCAATGACTTGGCCAAAAGCCATTGGCAGTTGGTGCTAAGCCGCCGCAGAAATGCAGATGCGGCTGGAGGCATCCTCATGCATTTATGCAGACGTAGCTGCCGCCAGCTTGTCGTCGATTTACCATCCCGCTCCTCCCTCCCCTTTACCCCCCAAGACACCTCCCTCCACCCCCTGATTATCCCCCTCTGGGTGAGCCAACTGCTTAGCAATGCGCATATATTTGCCAAGTGTTCGAATGGCTTTGACCGACGTGGCTGCCTCGACTCAAAGGTGTCGGCTAGCGGGGATTTCTCGGTCATCCGAAAAAGAATAAGAAATGCCATCAGCCAGCAGGTGTTGGCTTCGCCGTCTTCTCCGTCGATGCCACAAAAAACCAAAAGACCAACAGCAAAAAAAAAAAAAGCAACCAAATCCCAGCCCCAAAAGCCATCGCCAAATTGATTTGTCAATCGCAGAAACCGCAAACCTGCGCACATTTCGTTGGCATTTGAAAGCCATTTGAATAACATTTCACCCGGCCCGAAGACTTAAGTTTGAGATTTGTTTTTCTATTTTTTCTTTTTAGTTTTTTTTTTTTTTTGGAAAGTATCACATTTGAGCAGATGCAGAAATCTGCTGGTTGCACTGGCCTACAGGATGGCGATTGAAATAATTACAGCGGAGTGTTTACCCTGATTGCGTTGCCAGTTTGCTTGACCGAAATTTCTTCTGATTTTAAACGATTAAATACAGTTCAATGAGGTTTTCTCTATGCTTACGGAAAAGAAAGTTGTATGTCAAAGGGGAAAGCCTAAATTTATAATTGTTGTATAAATATTTTTTCCAGGATATCCTATAACAATTTAAGAGGTTCTCCATAAATATCTAGGGAATCAATATAAATGTTTATTAAAGAATGTAATAATGGAATATTGTAGTTTAATGATTTGTCTTATAAATTGTTTTCAAATATAGCTTTTGAAGTTATATAAATATGAAAAGACTCTTGTTGTATCCTTTTCTTTGTTTAAATAAAAACTTCCTCCATAAAGATAAGCAATTTCGATCTGTTAATAACCAGTTGAAAATGATCTCTCCTTTTTCCGTGGCAGTGTTAATGCAGCTGCAAGTTGTCCGCGGCGTTGTCATCGTGGCTGTGGCAGTTGCGATTGCTGTTGCTCTTTCTGTTGCCATTGCCGTTGCCATTGCTGTTGCTGTTGCTGTTGCAGTTGCCGTTGTGCCCGTGGTTGCAAGTTGGTCCCTTCGCCAATTTGTTGCTGACACGGCTGACGAAGAGAAAGAGGGGCTTGGCCCAGGCCAGCCAGCCAGTCAGCCAGCGAACCAAGAGGCACCAACAGTTGGCAGTGGAAGCGCATAAAAACTAATTGATTGGATGCCAAGATGTTAAGCGCATAACGGCAGCGGCAATAGCAGTTGCAGTTGCAGTTGCAGTTGCAAAGTTGCCGTCTTTCAGCGACTTTTATTCAATTTAAATGCGCTTCCAGCGCCAATTCCGATGCCAACTGCCTGCCCCGCCCTGCGTTGGCCAATTCGCTTAAATTAATTATTTTTTATTAACTTTTCGCTCATTGATGAAATTTTTCAAATATTTCCCCGCATTCTCGCGACTTTTGCGGCCCAAGCAAATTTGTCGCATGCGACTTTTACACACTGATCGTTTGGCATTTTTGTTGCGGCGGTCGGTCGGTCGGTCGGCATATAAAGTTTGATGGCAAGTTAATAAAATGATATTGCCGTCGGGGATATTTGGGATTTTTCGGGGAAGCCATAAAGAACTGGCACTCTCGGCGGAACCTTCGATTTCACTTAAGTGCTCCTCCCCGCGACTCTATGTATCTCCGGGGCTAACGGGAGTGGTTCTGGCCACGGCCGTCTTGGCCAGAAATGCATACATATCTACCAGTTAATCGCGTCAACTCGTTATCGTGTGACGTTAAATCCACTTCCCTCCCAAAAACGCAGGCGCGCATTTATCAAAAGTTATTGCAAATTAATTGCAATCTGGCCGGCTCAATCTGCGGCATCATCTCGGGGCGATCTGGCCAAAAGCCGTCTGGCATTTTCGGGCCATGGGTTTTGTTTTCCATTTTTTTTTTCTTTTCGGTTTTGGCCCGTTGCATCGGCGGTTGCTGCTTACCAAAATTTATTGATGCCTTATTAGCTGATAATCACAAACACACTCGCGGAGACGAGGTCTTCGAAACGGTAAAAAAGAGTTTTCAACTCGCCTGGCATATTAAAGTGCATTAAGATAATTGAAATGGCCAATAAAAAATATTTTCCCTTTTCCATTCTGGGCTTTAACCCGTCCGCTCGCTCTCCATCGGTGTCAAGAACTTGTCCGAAGTGTTGAGTATCGCGCTTTGGGCGTTTTTTCCTTTTTTTTTTTGGGGTTCTGGCTTGGTTTTTTGGACTCCAAATCGGAGTTGCAGTTGGAAGTTTGGGATCTTGAAGTCCAATGGGGTCCGGGGTTCGCCGCTGAGTTATTTGTGTGCGCCTCTCAATGGAGCTGTTTTTTCTCGGAATACGAACCCACTCGCACTCGGTGCTGAAACGTTTTTCAATTTCCACATTTCTCATGTCGGGGAGTTTTGATTTAGTGATTATGGCGGGACTCCAGCTCGCCCCTGGCCCGATCTGGTTGCATTATGTATATGAGTTATTAATAAGCTTTCTTTTGATAAGCCAACCGGCGTTCTGCGGCGTTCGTACAATGGGCGGCCATTTAATACCAAGTGTTTGCTTAAAATGATTTAAGGCGTTGCCCCGGCGAAATCGGGATGTGGTTCTTGCAATCCAGGACATCTGATAATTGTTTTTACGGTTCTTCTTTCTTTTCATGGCAAAAACCTAAGCATGTAATTTTGTGGAAGATGATATTTATTTATTTATATAAGGTAAAACCTAAAACAAACTTTTCTTAAGAATCTGAGAGTACATTTTTTGTGTTAGCCACATGTGCATTGGTGGAAGTGAAGCTCCAAAAAATAAATTAGGGCAACGGAAAATGGGAAAATAAATGAATCCAGGAGAATATTTATTTCTCTAACTGTTTGGGGATTATTTAGAACTTTTCCACCTTGACGAGCGCCATAAATTAGCCATCGCCAGTGCAGTTTGCACTACCATTTCCATTTCCATTGGCATTGCAATTCCCATTTGCATTCTCTTCCTGCGGAGAATGCCGACAGCATTTACACCAGGAAGTAAGCGACCTACAAGCGTTCGCTTGGGGCTTTCCAGGAATTTTCGAGGCGTAGCAACTGTTTGTGACATGTTTTGATTTGTGTTGTCGACGTTTACGAGCTTGTAACTCTTGCGAGCACACAAATGGAGGTCTGGACCCTGGACCTAGGCCAAATCGAAGTCCCGGGAACAGAAACAGAGAGAGAGAGAGAGAGGGATCGTCCAGAATCGAGGGAACCGCCAAGGAGGAGGGAATCGCCACTCACTCGACACAGAATCGAAATGTTATCGATGACATTAATAGCGATTGGGGGCTTTCATCAATTACAAGGCTTTGTTGCCCGGCCAGACTAACCAACCTACCAACAAACCAACCAACCAACCAACTAAGCAACCAAACCAACTAACCAACAAACAAGCGACCAAACAACAACCACATCTCCCATCATCCAAAAGCCAACTTAGTTCGGCTCGGCCTACGCAGCGAAATTGTAAATTATTACAATGCAAATGATTTCCATATTGTAAATATGATGTGAGCGCTGATAAAGCAGCGGGCTGGCAAAAGGGAACCGCCTCTGCCTGTTGGCCAAGTTTATGCAAACAAAAGTTCAACGCATTCAAAGTCAAGGCAAGAGCAGAGCAGTTAAAGTAATTTTGCGAGTACCGTTTTGGGCCTGGATCTCTTGCCCCGACTTTAAGTTCGACTTCGACTTTGGGTTGGGGTTTGAGTTTGGGTTTGGGTTTGGGTTTCGGTTTCCTTTCTGCTGCCTTGACCACCACCAACGTCGCCGGCAATCAAGTCAACTCCGCGCCGAACTGTATTAACTCTTGTCTCTCGCTCTCTCGTCCCGGCCAACTGTTGCTGTTTTTAGCCAAGTTGTGCCGTCTGCTGTCAGTTGGCATCTTCCTGTTTGCACAAAACGTCACGTTCGAGTCACGTTTCCAACTGCCATCAATGGGGTGCCCGGGCACTTAGTCTCGCCCATAGCCGCAGTTGATGTTTCCCACAAATTTAACAGAGCCGCGCTCGCCATTCGCCAATCGCCAGTTCGCCAAATCGCCAGTTCGCAGTTTACAGTCGGCTGTTTGCTAGGCTCTATAGTATTCAACGTTCTCCATTCTGCATTTGGATCTCAGAGTTCGCTGGGCGCTGGCGTAACGCAACAATTTCGCAATCACCTGACAATGTGACAGGTAATAGTCGTGTCCAGCACGCTAGACATTTGCATACTCATAGGCACACGGGCAAGAACTGTGAAGTAATTTCGATGCCAGGCGAGCATCGCTCGATGGTCACCTCGTGTCTCTGGCTCCGGCTCTGGAGCATACTGTGATAAGTAATTGCATTGCGTTCTCTGCAGAGCGAGAAATGTAGACAAACTTACATAAAAAA